TAAAATTATGGCCTGCAAAGATAGAACAGAGGAGAACTTGGTTGCTGCCAGGGGATAAGGCAATAGAAAGTATGGTCTGAGGAGCTCACAAGAACCAGAAGTACTCCAGATATTGATGCCTCCCAGTTGCAAAGCTGAAAGACATTGTTTTAAGAATAAAGCCTGAGACACCATGCATATTCCAGAATGGCAGTGATCTAGAAAATTTGTTTCTCAGGGTTGGGCTCACAGTGCTCATCAGTCTAGGAACTTGATATCTAGAGCAAAAAGGGAAGAAAGTCTGATTATTGTTTGAGCTGGCAGCAGACCTTGGCATTGTCCATGTGATTCTGGTTTTAAGTGCATGCAGAATTCAAGAGTTATGGGGTCTGGAAGGCCACCCAGATTTCAGAAGGCCTGGAAAGCCAGGCAGCGTACTTTGGGAGGGTAGTTTGTGAAGCTGTGAGTGTGATGCAGAAGGTGCAGTGGAGACCCCGAAAGGCTGGGGGAAGCCAGAAATGTGGATCATTTGAGGAGGGCTGCAAGGAGTGAGCAAAGCAGGCCCAAAAGAGAAGCCACAACCACTGACAGAAGCCATGACCAAAGGGCAGTGGAGACACGAAGTCCTTTGGAGTTCACATCTTGTCAAGGACTATAGCAAGTGCTGGACATAGAACTATAAGATTTAATCTTTGGTTTAATTTTGCACTTGCTTTGGTCTTATTCCTTTCTAGCTGCATTTGGAATGAAAATGTTTACTTGTACCATTATGTGAAGGAAGTGTATAACTTTCATTTGTATAGGTCCTTGTAGCTAAGAGTTTGTCTTAAATATTAGACGATGCTTTGGATTTGGACTTCTTAGCAACATTGAAACTGTGAGGATTTTGGCAACTTATAGATAGACTAAAGTGCTTTTCCATAAAGGAACATGCATGAGTCTTTTGGGGGCCAAGGATGGAATGTTATGACTTATCTCTGGATGTCCTCTGAAAGTCTCAGGCACTCATATGTGGGGCTTTTCAGAGCTGGCTGGATCTAGTGTGTATGATATAGGGAATATGGATGCATAGTACTAAATTAGCCCACTGATTGATTTAGTATTATTCTGGGTGTGGATTATGGAAATGCCTTCCCTGGGTGTGGGTGGCACCACCCAAAAGACTGATATCTTGGACAGAATTAAAAGGAAAGGGAAGGTTGCTACTCACTATTTGCTGCTGCCTCTTGCCTTCTACCTTGGCTGTCATGAACCATTTCTACTCTGCATTGCTCTGCTGTGCTTCCCTCCCTTGGAAACACCCAACTGTGGACCGAAACCTCTACAAACTGTGAGTTAAAATGAATTTTTCCTCCTTTTACTTCGGGTGTCAAGTATTTTGTCTGCTAAGAGAAAAGTAATTAAGACATATGGATTTAAGAATAAAATTTTTAAAAAACATATATCATTATTCTGATATAAATTAATCATGGATAACTTTCAAGAAATATTTATAAAGTTCATATTTTTCTGAAAATTTCTGAGTTAAGTAATTCATTTGTACATGAGGTCATTTCTACTGAATCTCATTATCCTCAAATTCTAGTGATGTAAGTAGAAACTTCTTGTTTAATTTGTAGTACAGGAATTTATAATGTTTACCTAAGTGGGATTTTCAAGGTCATATAAATTACATTAATTCTATTAATTTTACTTTCAATCTTAATAAAATATGATTTTTGATTAAGTTTAATGTTAAAGGTTATGGTGGTGCATGCTGTAATCTCAGCACTCCTGGAGGCTGAGGCAGGAAGATCACAAGTTTGAACCCAGCCTGGTCAATTGAGTGATACAGCAAGACACCATATCAAATTAGAAATATAAAAAGAGCTGGGGCTGAGGAGGTAGCTCAGTGGAATAAGTGCTTCCCTGGCAAGCACAAGGGCCTGAGTTCAATCCCCGGTTCCACACATAAAAAAATGGGCTGGGCATGTAACTCAGTGAGGAGGTCCTGAGTTCAATCCCACAGTACTTCAAAAACAAAAATAAAAACAAAAACACAACATTTGTAACAAATTAAAATATTATAAATGTTTTGGGGTTGTGCTGATTTTTATCCTTTTTTAATAACTGTGTACTAACCTGTGTACTGTTTTCAAACTCCAAAATGGAGGAAAAGAAAAAAACAGAAATAGTAAGCAAAAAACTAGAAACGAACTCCAACATATCCTTGCATCTGAATTGTGCATTGAACAATAGCTACTATTTATATACATGCATTGTGAACATAGTAATGATTTTGTGCTTTTTTGTATGTTATTCCTGCTACTAGTAATGTTCTCATTAACTATATATATATATATGTTTTTCATATTCTTTATAGTTTATTTTAAATATACTCTGCTCTAGAGGGTCTTCCTAGATAGACTGCCTTCACCCTTATTTGGCTTAGATATCCCTTTTGTTTCTTTCATATACCTCCCATGGTGTCCTTCGACACCTCTAATTATCTCCATACTGTGAAATGGAAGTAGGGACTTGGCCCATCTAGTGCCTTATACAATAATAAAAGTACTCAGTAAATACTTATTGAATGAGTAAATCAATTTTTGTGTTTCTTTTTTTAAGAAAAACTTTGTGTGTGTGTGTGTGTGTGTGTGTGTGTGTGTGTGTGTGTGTTTTAGTGCAAGGTCTACAGGGTCTCACTGTGTAGATCAGACTCATAGTGATCTGTGTTCAGCCTCCCAAAGAGCTGGGATTACAGGTGTGTGATACCACACCTAGTCTTAATTGCTGTCTCGGTACACCCTCTTTAATCCACTGTGCTCTTTGGCTGGCCCTAAGTTTTGTGTTTCTTGATTTAGGAGATGGCATTAAATTCAAATACTTAAACCAAAATCAATTTCTTTTCTCAGAAATAAAATTGCAAATTTCACTTTGTTAGATTTTGTTCTATTTTATTCATATTGAAGCAAGATAATTTTTTTTTAATACTTTTTAGTACTGGGGCTTGAGCCTCTTAATTTTAAAGCAAGGTCATGCTAAATCACAATTATCCCAGGCAGGCCGCAAGTAGTGAGCCTCCTGCCTCAGCCTCCCAAAGTGCTAGGATTACAGGCATGCATCGCTGTACTGGCCCATATTTTTTTAGCCTTAACCAACTGTTCTCCCTACTTATGTTTAAATGCACTTTATCATTTCATCACTGATGTTTAGTTTCTCAAGAACGGGTGTTGTAGCAGAAAATCCAATTTTAAGATTCAGAAGCATAGATCCAAATAGACATTGGTTCCAAATAATAGTGAGAAAAGATGAAGAGCCAGGCTGTCCATAGCAGAATATTTTCTAGAATAGAGAAGAGGAAGAGTTGGAAGAGAGTAAAAGAAGTAGTGCCAGTACGCACCATTGAGAAAGCTGTGTGTTCTTCATTGCTTATCCTTGTTTGGGGTGGGGAGCAGAGAGAAAGAAAGAGAGAGGGAAAGCGAGATAGCTGATAAATCTGTATAGTTCAAAAGAGGTAAGGGCTGGTAGGAAGAAAGACAATGAGAATGAAAGGAAGCTGGGGAGTGGGGAGAAGAAAGGAGGAGGCAAAAGAGAGAAGCTCCCCCAGTTCAAATTGTCAAATTGTACATGAGATTGAAAGTATAGACTGAGTCCCTTGAGCCCCACTCCCAGCTAGAGGTTCTGGAAGGCTCATGCCTGGTACCTCCTGGGAGATGTAGAATAGATACATTTTAATAGTAATAAAATTTTGAATTTAAGGAATATTTATATACTATGTCTTTTAAATCAAGATTTTCTGGGGCCAGGGAGATGGCTCATTAGAGTAAGTGCTTGCCTGGCAAACACAAGGGTCTGAGTTCAATCCCCAGCTCCACAAAAAAAAAAAAAATGCCTTGAGGGCATTCGGCATAAAAAAAAAAAAGAAAAAAAAAAAGACTTTCTGCATGGAAGAAATATATCTATGTAAGCAGGATGGTTTGTACAGTTGTACAGCTGATCTATGGAAAGGAGCTGTTAATGCTTAATTTGTTTTGTCTCCTTTTGTGAATTATTTGACCTTTTTCTCTTCTTAATTTTTCTTTTAATTTTACATGCATATATCTATTAATACAAACAACTAGTTGTAAGACAACATTATACTTTATAGTAAATACTGTTAAATTCATATTACTTTAAGTGAAATTCTGTATCACTTGTAATTTTTCTGTTTTAATAATATTTTGAAATAAAAATATTTTATACTCTTTAAAAATAAAAAATAAAAATATGTAATGGGAATAGTTTAGAAAAGATTTTATTGATAATGTCAAGGAACTGGATATTTGTTCCTCTTAAATGTATTAACAGGAATAAATATTAAATCTTTAAAATTTTAAGAATATGACCTTCATATTTATAATACTTATGACTTTGTTTTGAATTTAATGGAAATAAATAAAAAGGAATTGCCATTCCTACCTTTAGAATTTTCAAAAGGAGTCTATCATAAAACATGCCAAATTGTTAAGTGACTGTCTTTAGCTGGTGGGGTTATGAATGCTTGTCATATTTGTACCACTCTGAGTTTTGAAAAATTCTTTTTGTAGTAGGATAGCATTTTCATTTTTATTTGCATGGTTAAACATTGTTATATTTTCATTTAGGCTTTGCCTCTGCCCACTGACTTGGTAGTTGGTAGTGTATGTTATTAGTTGATGGTCTCCCTTGACTGTGAGAATAGTTGGAGCTGCTGTTTCTTTAGAAATAACTCAAGGCTTAGAGAAGTTGATGTACTACATTGTGATATTTAGCACTTTGAGATTCACCATGTGAAAATAAATTAGTAAATACTGAGTATCATATACTTTTCTGTGAAAAATGTAGGATTAGGGATCAGCTGTGTTTAAAAATTACTCCAGAAGTTTTTATATATTATTTTCACAATAAAAAATCAGTGAGATTTGATTAAGCTTCCAAGAACATTTTTTTAATGTATTAAAAACAAACAAAAAAAATTAGAAAAAAAAGTAAAAAAACCCCAAAACATTAGAAATGTTACAGTGCTCGTTTTGGCAGCGCATATACAAAAATTGGAATGATACAGAGAAGAGTAGCGTGGCCCCTGCTCAAGGATAACACTGAAATTCATGAAGCGTTCGGTATTTTTTTTCTGCGTGTCAGCCCTGCCCCCAGGGCGCGCTGAGACAGCAGTTGAGACTGGGTGTGGTGGCGCGTGTCTTGGGAGGCTGTAAACAGGAAAATCACGAGTCTGATCTACTAGTGACACCCTCAACACCCTGTAGACCCTTTCCTAAAATACAGAACAAACAAAGAAATGAACAAGCAGCAATAAATGAATGATACAGATATTTCACTAAACAAAATGATAGGAATTCAACAATTGTTGTTATATCGCATATTGTTGTCTTCAAATTGTGAAATGAACCTAGATAGTGAGCTGCACTTCTTTTTCTGAGTGGGAAATGGTTTAATACTGTGGACACCTCATTCTCTGATTACCATAGTATATTGAAATAATCATCCATTTCTTCCTGGGCCTTAGCTCACCTTTGGTAAAGAGAAAGATTTCCTAGCTTGTTTTCCTATCTTTATATCCATATAACAAAAAAAATGCTTAATAAATCT